ATCTGCCCAATCTTTTCACCAAATCCAATCCAACTGATACTCTAAAATTGCCTAGATCAGACATCCCTAATTAAGTACAGTGGTCAGGTTAGGTCCATTTTACCATTACAATTGAATGTCCATAACTTCTAAGTTCCCTTTCACCATCCCTTAAACATTCTGACTTTTGAAAAGTGCTTTGTTTGTATTTTAAAGTAGTGAGATTTGTTTTATGCACATTCCCCTCAGCAGCTGCCTCCTCATAAGCTAGAGTCCAGTGCCACATCAGCAAAGGCTGTCAGCGGCGAAGGGAGCGAGAGTTAGTCACCAATTCCTCCATCTCCTCATATTGGAAACCCAGTTGTTTAAGCGCAGAAAATGTATGCGACAGCAGGACCCCACGCACCCGGGGCCCGTGTGCGGTCCCAGCAGCGCGCTCTTTAGAGGAAATGGAGAGAAGTGCTTACCGGGTTGGACAGGCTCAACGAGAACCTGCCTGCCATGAGAAGTCTGCTGTCAGGGTTTGAGAATCGCACTGTTGCAATCTCATTAAACCAACAAGGCCTTTCAGTCAGCGCTCCGGAGAGACGGGAAGACTCCATTGTGTTTTTATTTCCGTTTTCCTCGCTTCCGAACACGTGTAGCTTAAGCCAAAGATCGGGGCAAGCAAATATATGCAGAAAATCTACACCCTGAAAAGCCCGTCTTCAATATGTGCATCCTATTTATTCCTATTAGTTGGACATTTCTGTAAATTGGTTGTATATTATATGGGAGGAAGACGTGCTTATTACAGCCTCCAAGAATCTGTCCAATTATAATGCATATTAGTAATGGTTGAGCAGCAGTGGAAGAAAATACTAAGTGTATACTAAAAACATAACGAGGAATGGGATTCGTCTCTTATAAAAATGTCCAAAAATTAAGTCAACGAAAACCATATACTGAAACATGTACTTAAAGGTGTTTTGTGAAACTTTTTGGTGAAGGGTCCGGTGTTGCTTTGTCTAGAATGTTTCACAGTATGGTATTAAACCTATCTAACTTCATAGAAACCAAACCAAAGAGACCAAAGTTACAGGTCAGATCTGTGGAGAGGCAACAACGCTCAGAGTCAGAATACCTGTTTTTCTGGGTATTTTTTCCTCCTGTAATTAAATAAATGTAAGGTAGAGCTGTTTATTGTCATACTGTGGAACGTTCCAGACAGAGCAATGACATATCCATAGTAACAAGAAGGTGACGGAGCCTCCACCAGAAAAGTTACACAATGCACCTTTTAATTATAGGGTTAGCAACGATTTGATAATTATAGCGTGCCGTGTTGATGAAGTGTATGTCAACTGCTGGATAAAAGCATTGAACATTCTTCAGCAAAAACACCATTTTCAAACGTTTAGACTAACTAAAGCAATGAATATCTTAGCATTCACTGAGCTTGTCGCATTCACATTTTGGTGGTGTCAGTGCCTTTTCCACTGAGTTGTTTTATTGGATTTCTCAGACAAGGTCATCGCTTTGCTAAAATCTTCTTTGATAGTTGAGATCCAAGCCTGTTTTTCAAAGCTTGTTGAATAATTGGACAGACCTCGGGGCAATGCTAACCACAAAACATGCTCCTCCACTGCATAAATCTTCCAAATTGGTTGAGATTTATTTTTTTCTCTTTTAAACAAGTCTACCAAAAAGCTTTCGGAGCCGTAGCATTTGCACCTCAAGGCCTTGGTTTGTCTTGAGCAGTGGCAGCTTTTGAAAATGGCCAAATGCCTGTTTGGGTTACATTTCAGTTTGACAGACTTGTTCACATTGCTGTTTAATCGAAATCTAGTCAAGTTATGGTGCTCCAGAAAGTAATATTTTCTATTGACCAACCACCACAGACGGTGCTTTCACTGGAATAGCAATTTGTAATTTTAAAACCGTATTATTTTGGTTTAATTGTGCTTTCTCTCTCTCTGCTTTCTTTTTCTCTCTGTCTTTATTAAAAAACTTTTACACTTTTCAAATCACACCACTGAGAATGAAACCCAAGCTGATTCTTTCAAAGTATTGTTAGAAGTTGTATTTTTTTAGGTGTGGGGCGAGACACAAGATTAGGTCCATGAGAATAAGACAATTTTGAAATAATTTAGAGTAAAATAATTGTGCAATCCCAGTTTGGCATTTTTTATTTTTAAGATTTTTGGAGTAATAGTAGAACTACTTTTGGAACCACACCTCCTCAAGAGTTAAGAGAGTAACTTACCAGCCCTTTACTTCTCTTATCCAAGATGTAAACTAAATGGGAAAAAAATCTCACAAGGTCATCATGTGTCCTATCCCTATTTTTTTTTTTTTTTTTTTTTACATTGTTATATACAGTTTTTGGTTTTGTTTTTCATCTGAACTGTCTGGACTGCCCCCTTGAATTAAAAGCAGTGGTACAAAATACTCCTACTCCTGTCTCATACAGTATATACAAGATACTTTGTGTACTCATTTGTGCAGTACTGTAGAGCGTTATTGCTGTGATAAAAAATTTGCCCAAAATGTATTTTACAATCACGTGGTTGTTTGAAACCACATTTGACTTCCCATGCTTGGTGGGAAGCAGTGTGCCAAAGCCTCTTATGTAACATCTTATCCAAACATTCAAGGAACCGTTTGCTCCAAAACTAGGCCAGTAAAATAATTACTCAGATGAATAATAAGAAAAAGGAATGGGAGCTAAAAAGAAGAGAGAAACATCTTGAGAGCCTGTTAGGTCTGTTTGATAATGTTGTAAATTATAAATAATATGGGATTTTCTTCCGCATTCCCTGTTCTTTATTCTCACTTCTGATGGATTAATTTGGCTTGAAGCGTCTTCATTTTCACACGCATCTCCTCTGCAGTGCTGTTGTCAAAAGGATCAAAAATCACATACTAATTGATACTGAAACTAAACGGAACTAGATACACATTTGAGCAGGTATCGATACGAAAAAAGTCACTTTCACATGACAGAAATTACTCCTTCCTGAATATCTTTAGAATGACCTTGAGCTGTATCAGAACAAGTATAAGCTCATATAGACTCGTATACGCACATGGACCACTATGGAACCTACCTGTACGGCTGAGGAATTACACAGATAAGACCTCATGGTAATATAAAAGAAGCAGAGTATATCGAGTATCGAGTTTGGCATTTTATTATCATGAATAGTCCAGATCTTGTTAAAGCAAATAGGCTTTTGCACTCCGGACCAATGAACATGGCAAGTGGCTGCGAGGAGTCAGAGAGGACAGGTCTGACCGAAGAGAGAGGCATCCACCAGAACACTGCTCCTCGTGTCCGTAACCATGGTGATGTAAAGTCGAGCTGCAAAACACATTGATCATTCTCGGCACTGTCATCATTATTATCCGAATAATTCTTTCTCCCTTCGGCGACTCTACCCACTACCCCTCACACTCTGCCTGACACTAAGGGAGATGTTCTTTTATGATTAAAGACGACTGAACTACTTTCTTGTGTTTTAAGTCTTCACATTTAAAGAGCCTGTACCCTATCTTTTTCATATAAAATAGTCAGATTTGTTTTGCACCAGTACAGATGTATTATAAAAGCAGCTCTTAAGGTCACAGACTGTATAAATAAGTGGACTAAGAGAGTGTTCCGCTCCAGTCAAATGAAGCTCATCGAGGCAAGAGTTAGGGAGCGAATTTGGAGCTGAGTTCCATATTAAGAATAGGAATTGAAATGGATAATGTAGTAAAATAAAAACACCAGGATCATGTAGAGTGGGTTGATACGAATACTTTAGCATTTAAGAGATGGCATTGGCATTGTTGTACATTTTATATACAGTCTATGGGTCAAAATGAGACCGCAGTGTTCTGTCTTCATCAAATTATGAAGCCAGTTTTGTTGTCTGCAAACTAGGAAGTGTGCTGTTAGAATGCTAGTTGTTCTTAGCATTACAGTGACAGCAAACCTCCACTCTGATCTCTGAAAGTTGCGAAAAGCACTTACCGTATTTTTCGGACTATATGTTTTTTTTCATGCTGTGGGTAGTCCTGCCACTTATACTCTGGTGTGACTTATATATTAAAATTTTCACACTGACAGCCGCGAGAGGGCGCGCTAGGCTTGTGTGTCAGTATCTACTACTCTTACTCCTATACCACTGTCACTTCACTCTACTGCGCATGTCTCCTGCAAAAAAAGCCTGCTGTCCTGCTGCAAATAGTGAAATATTCAGCCAAAAGCGGTGATTGAACAGCAGAAAGAAAGTTTGGAGTAAGCGAGAAACTTGTGAGGGACTGGCGGAAAGTGGGGATGGAGAACACAGCCTCACGGCAACCGAGCGGGTGCGCCATGCAACTTTCCTGGAAGTAACTGAATGAATCTACAAAGCCTGGACTTCAATGACAATCGAAACCATCCTGTCGGGATTCAGTAAGGCCGGAATAATTCTAACTGGAACTGACGCTGAGTCTGACATCATCTATGCAGAAGAGGAAGCGGCGCTTTCTTTACCTCATGGATTAATGGTTTATCTCCGGAGGTTGCGCAGAAGTGACACCGAGGATGAAGAATTCAATGGGTTTAGTGATTTGGAGTGAGATATTTTGGTAAACTTATGTTCTGTTGTTTATGCTATAATTATCTGAATAACTGTTAATATGTTACATGAACATATTAACGCCTATTCGGCCTGTTGTTCTCTGTTCTGTTGTTTTTACTATAACTTGCCTTTCAAGATGAAATGTCAGTCTGGTGTGACTTATATATGTTTTTTTCATCTTCATTATGCATTTTTTGGCTGGTGCGACTTATACTCGAGCGACTTATAGTCCGGAAAATACGGTATAAACTCACTGTGGTGAATAATTAGGAAGCCAGGAATGCCTTAGGAAAGTGTGGAATAATTTTCAACCACTTTTTTAGTTCTTTTTATATTTTTAAGATCTGCACCTTTTAATTGTCTTTGAAACTTGTAATAACTTGGTAACTTAATAATGAATAGTGCGTATGATTGTTTTCTTCCACACAGACACGCCGTACAGAGAAGAGCAGGTGAGGGATCTAAAGGCAGCATTGAAGGGCACAGACCCATCCATCCCGCTGGTGTTTGTCAGCGGGAACCATGACCTTGGAAACACCCCCACGCCCAAGACAGTGGAGCAGTACTGCAGCCAGTGGGGAGACGACTATTTTAGCTTCTGGGTAAGATCATTTTCATGGCACATTTAAGCTAAATTGCAAGATGGAAATTAAACTGTTAGTCTTATTATACTTATTAAAAACTTGGAATATGATAGATTTAGTTTAACCTTCTTTTGCTATGGATCCCCTCTGGACGGCTGAGGGATTATAAAAACAAACAAAACACATCTTGGCCAAGAACCAAGTATTTAGCTATTGATCTAAACCTTACACGCAAATTGATCTAATCCGCTGTGTCCTACATCAACCCTTTGGGCAAATGTAAGTCCCCGTAGGGTGAAATATTGTAAACATCGTGTAGTGTAATTTTAAACCTCTTAATCAGCATGAATTAATGTTGGTTTTGAGATATTTAGGAATAAAATCTATCCAAAAAACAGCAAGACTTAAACAACAGGACGTCATTTTGAAGCCAATGTTGCTTTCTAAATTATGTAAATACAGCTGGTTTAGACTTACTTTTTGGATATATCTTTACTAACATTAACTTTGTGTTGCAACCTAACTGCATTTGCGTAATCTGGAATTAAATCATACCAGTGGTTAATTAGCTGCAGTAGTAACGTGTGTATGTGTGTGTGTGGTCCCAGGTGGGCGGGGTGCTGTGCCTGGTACTGAACTCCCAGTTGTTCTTCGACGCCTCCGCCTGCCCGCAGCTGAAGGAGGCCCAGGAGACGTGGCTGGAGCAGCAGCTGTGCCGAGCCTCCGCTTCCTCTCCCTCGGTATGACAACACCACTGACACAGAGCTATTCTTACAGGGCTCACTGTTCTCACTGTTGTGCTGCTCCTTTATTAACTGTGGAAATGTGTCGCTAAAACAGGAGCACAAACCCAAACATGTCCTGGTCTTCCAACACATCCCCCTGTACCTCAAGAGTCCAGACGAGGAGGACGATGAGTACTTCAACCTGCCAGGGACTATCCGACAACAGCTGATAGACAAGTTCAAGAGGGCAGGTAGGATGGAGCCATGGTAGTTAAACAAACTGTCCTTCCGAGATGGAAGAAACACACTAAGAAAAAAAAAAAAAATCTACCAAAACTAATATATGGATCAACAATATAGACAACAAAAATATAGATCTAGCCAAAATCTATTTCCACTAAGTACTAAGAACTAAGTATATTTAAGTACCATATTTTTTTGGACTATAAGTTGCACCGGACTATAAGTCATACTTTTTGGGGGAAATTTATTTCATAAAATCAGAGACCAGGAACAGACGTGTCATCTTGAAAGGCAAGTTATAGCAATAGAATAAAGAACAACAGTTCTTCAGATAACTATAGCATAGACAACAGAACATAACAAGTTAACCAAACTCTTGATCGCGCTCCAAATCACTAAATCCATTTAATTCTTCATCCTCGGTGTCACTTCTGAGCAACTCTGCAACCTCTGGAGGTAAACAAAGTGTTGCTTCCTCTTCTGCGTAGCTGTTGTCAGACTCAGCATCAGTTCCATTTAGAATTATTCCAGCCTTTTTGAATCAGGCTTTGTCAGTCCAAAAAGTGACTTCCAGGAAAGTCGCATGGCGCACCCGCCCGGTTTTCATCAAGCTTTTCCATCCCCGCTTTCTACCAGTCCCTCACAAGTTTCTTGCTCACTCCAAACTTTCTTTCTGCTGCTCAATTACTGTTTTCAGCTGCATAATTCACTACTTGCAGCAGGACACATGCAGGAGACATGCGCAGTAGGGTGCCAAGTGACAGTGGTACAGGAGAAATAGAAGTAGCAGATACTGACACACAAGCCTAGAGCGCCCTCTCGTGGCTGTCAGTGTGAAAATTTTAATATATAAATTGCACCGGAATATAAGTTGCAGGACCACCTACACCATGAAAAAAGTGCCGACTTATAGTTCGAAAAATACAGTAGTTTTGAAACAGAATTAGGCAGTCTACTTTTATAAGGCTCACATGGAAAATGGTGCATTATCTAAATATCTTTTCTCATTGTCTCTCTGCGTAGTCACATGGAGAGTACATAGCTCCAGCCCCGTCTGGCTCTTTACTCTGAGAATTAATACCCCATTAGCCATAGGCACAATAAGAGCTCTTTGCACATACAGAATTGAATTAAAAATCACTTCCTGACGAGAGAATAATTCCATAATCAGAATCCATTGTTGTGGGATTAGAAGAGTGTGATAGGAGAGTGCTTGGCTGACAAGGACAATAAGTCTTAACGAAGCACCCACACACACACGCACACACACACCCAAACACATTTGATTGACAGGACCTCTTATATGGACATGCTTTCCAATCATGCATCAAGGTGACTGGTGGGGGATGCTATTAATTTCATTATTCTGTCATTATTGCAGCATGTATTCAACAGCGCTGTGCTCTGCTGACCCTCCTCGCCTGTAATTGATTGTTTCTCAGAAGGAACAGCAGTTAAAGATTTAAAGGGCAGGATCACAAGCTTGTCATATGAAGGCTATTACAGCGAGAGCAAGGCTACAGAACATGGCACTGGCAAGTGTCCTTTCTTGTTCACACTTGTCCTGCTGGCATTAGCCATTCTAAACTTACATACCTACATACACACAGAATAGGAGATGTGCTGTTAATTATATATGATAGACACGCTCCCGCTCACAGTGAGGCTGCCTACACTGTACCTCCTCATGTTTGTATGCATGTTCATCGGGGTTAATGTATGGACATGCAGTACAGTAGAACACAGAGGCTTACATCTAGAGAGTGGGTGAGATTATGTCTGATCTGTGATTTATGACACAATCTTAACAACTGGCTTCATGAACTTGTCAGCTCCTATCAGGACAGATCTCAGTACCACCTCGTGCGCTCTATCTGTCTGCTCAGAGAATTATGCCCATATTGTAAACGCATGTGTGATTTGTATAAGTCTATGGTTGTTCCATTACAAAACCATTTATCCATACACATAACATTGTAATTTTACTTTTTTATTCATTGATATCCAAGTAGACCTGTCACCATAACAAATTCACTACACTATCACTACAGAGAGATATTGAGATAAACAATAATATTGAGACGCAAAGATAATCCCAGTAATCCACTTTTTAAATACTGTATATAGTATCATTAAAAAGCCTGAGCTGCAACAAATACATGGCAGAATGAACCTTTAATTAGCCATAGAAGTTATTTATTCTACCCTCTAGAGCTTAAATCTTACCTCATTACAAAAAAAATCACAAAAATCTCCCCATCTTTGCAAAGAAATTGTAATGAGGCCCAAAATATATTGTTCCAGTTTTAATAGTATGCTGATAATTCAATATAGTAATTATAAGTCAACATACTTAACTATTTTTATTTTCTAAAAAAAAAAAAAAAAAAAAGAATAGAAATAGAAAAATCCATCCATTCTCTCTCCAGTCTCTGAAAAAACAATGTGAAGCATTTCAAACTGTTTTTAGGCCAGTCAAAATAGTGAACTAAATGTAACCCAAAAACCCACTGCTTTCTGAGTAGTATTTTCGTATCTTCCATTGTGATGAGCTCTGATGCTGGAAGCGCCTTTCCTTCATGTGCTACAGAAGTGTGTCTCTGTGTTGTGTATTCTGAGTGTGTCCTGGAGGCACGCTCGTCGTAAAGACACTGGCTGTGATCATCTCTGCGCTCACAGCCGCTTATCAGAAAGCGCACGCTGAATGTTTGTAGTGAGCTCGGAGATCACTGAGACTTGTGCAGCTCCGGACAGAAGAGAGGCCAGAAACACAAGCCAGGGGTGGTTAGTTAATCGACCAGGACTATAGAAAAAAAGAAATTCAAGTAGTATCGTATCTGAAAATTGATGAAAATCTTATTTTTTTAAAACTAGGGCTGGGCAAAAATAAAAAAATATTAATTGCATTAATTGCATGTGTTCCTGTGATTAATCATGATTAATTGCATGTTATACACAAAACCAATTCATGAATTCACAAATGGCATATAGCACACTTTTATTGGAAGTGTAAACGGAAGTGCCATACATTTGTTGTGCAAACAGCATTTCTTTATACAGTAGCAGTTCACTAGTCTGTAAAGTCCATGTTTATACTTCTTCCTTTGTTTCTTTTTTTAAGATTCTTCAATTTCAGTGCAGTCTGTCAATTCCTAAAATTTGACTTAATGAATTGAATTCAAAAGTAAAGTGCATGTGATCAGCAGCAGTAAAATATTCAGTGTAAACCTCAAGTGAAAATATCAAATCAATCCAAATATAAAACTGAAATGTATTGCCACTGCCAGGGCATTTATGTTATCCTGTTTGATATAAAAATGAGAATCTCAGTCAGAAAACAGTACACACAACCAGAAAACACTTTCAGTGCAGTCTGTCAATTCTTAGAATTTTTTATTTTTTTTTTACTTTTCTGCACAAAGCCAGTTGCTAAGGCATACAAGATTATTATTATTATTAAGAATGCACCAGCTTCTCGCAGAAGAAAATGAGACCCAGGGATGAGGAATGGGGGGGTTACAACGAAGAGAGATCGACACGATGTGCGTAATGTGCATGTGCGGAGCGACGGCTCTGACACGTTGCATCTCACATGGTCAGTCGAAGCCTCGCTCCACTTGTTTCGTTGAATGATTTGCTGGCACCAACAGAGTGTGTTGCATTTAGGTGGTATTTCAGACGCCTGAAACTTCGGTGATAAGACAATTCATTGTTGCAGTGTTATCCTGCTTTCTTTCTCTTTATTTTCTGTAAGCACCGCAGCAGTAAGCAAGGCTCACATGCGATAGACTTTTTAAAAATAAAAGCCAGTGAGCAACAGACGTTTACAATAAAAAATAAAATAAAAATAAAAACTGCGTTAAGGGGAGAAAAATAATTGTTGGCAATAATGAATTAATTAGTTAAGGCAAAATTAATGCGTTAACGTGACCGGCCCTAAAAAAAAAAGTTATCATACTTCACAGACACATCCCAAAATTTCTTTCTTCTGCCATTATTATCATTTTTTTCTAACATTCGCCTTTGTAGTAGTTCATACAAAATATTAGAAATGCCCCGATCCAGCTTTTGCAGTTCAGATTCCGATACTAATGCTTTAATGTCTGCAGATACCCAAAATCAACCAATACCAGTGGAGAGACTGAAACCATTTTTTTTTTTTTTTGCATATAAATAAAATATGACAAAACAGATCCAAATGTGTTATGTAGATGTTATTTATCTTACAAGGAAATACTAAACTTTGTGTAATTGAAAGTCATACATTTTTAGACCCGAACCAGGGTATCGACTGAACCGATATTTGGAAGCAGATCCAGCAAGTCTTTATCTGATCAATGTAGCCCTACAAAATACACACAAAAGAAAATGTAATGAATAATGCACTGTATAAAGCTTTTAAATCAATCAGCTTTAACAAACACATTTTAAACCATGTGCATTCTCATATGTTGCCAGGATCTCCCAAATTTTTTTATTTTAATGACACTATAGTGTGACGTTTTGGCGTTGAGCACTGCACAGACCCGGGACATTCATAACTTTTATTGGACGTGCATGTCTCTATCTACCAGTTTCATTCTTGTATGTCGCCATGTTTACCAATCCCTCATACTGATGCAATTTTGCAATCGCTTAAGTATGTGAAGTCGTATTGAAAAATGCAGTTCGACAACCTATAGCAGATATAAAATGTAGGTCTCATCCATTTAGCGACAGCTCTCTGGATAGAGGGGTGCATCTGGCAGGAAAGGCCTCAGCGGAGCTCCTTCTCCAGAGGCACAAACAACACAAACAAGTGAAGAATGGCAGAAAACCATGATGTTATTACACTTTATTGAAAAAAGAGGCCAGGCCAAGTGCCATTGTCTGGCTGTCTGTGCGCTACAGAGATGCGTGTCCTTTCATCCATGTTAAATGACTCTCCTCTGGACATGCTTTGGCAATTTGCAGATCCTACTCCCTCTCTGCGTATAGGTTTATTTACGGATCATGTGCCTTCTTCCCC